GTACATCTAGAACAGTGTGTTACCCTGAGCATGGGTAGGATATCCAACCAGTTCCTGAAGTCAGTCCTGCTTAAATTTTTGTAGACATAGAAAATTAGTCCTTGCATAATTGCTAAAAGGCCTCTCTCTCTCTCTCTCTCTCTCTCTTTTTTTTTTTTTTTTTTTTTTTCCCCTTTTTAAGGATGTGGGTCTTAACTTGGTCATAGGATGCTGTGACTCCTCTTCCAGTTGTGGCTGCCTGCAGGGCATGTGTAAACTCACCATGCTGGTGAGTCTGGGAGAAAAAAGAAGAGGAGAGAACAGATCCCTGTAGAATATGTTGTTTGGCACCGAAGCATATTCCTCCCCTCGCAGTCTGTCATCCTGAATCTTGTCATTTACGACAAAGACACTTTCGCAGCAATATCACTTCTGGTGGACTGGTTGATTTTTCTCATCTCCCACGTACTATTGGAGATCAATGCGTTCTTGGGGTTCTGCAGCTCCCAGAAGAATTGGGGGCCTCCAGTGAGTCCAACACCAGCATTATCCASCCACTTTTAGGAGGCATTTTGTTCTTTTCAAGGCTTTGCTGGGAGAGTTGTGCTCCTTCACGTCCCTAGTGACAGTTGCCAATGATTAATGTCCATGGCATATCCAAATTCTGATGTCTCCATCATATGATGTCTACACTTCTAGGCACATTTTGCGAGTTTGCTTGCATGTTGGCTTGTGTGGCCAAGCATATGCTAGACATGTGACTGAATTGCTGATTTTCCTGTCATCACATGACAGGTGTAGGGCAAGACCTGTGGGAAAACTAAGAACAGTCACCAGTTACTCATATGCATTTGTATTTTCGCTAGTGAGCCAAACATTCTGCCATCAACCTGTTCCCATGATGGAGAGAAGATACTACAGGCCTGTGGGGCACAGGGTAGGGGTCAGCAAGCCCCCCTCTAGCATGTTGAGTCAAGTAGGTCTAGTTGGGCTAGAGTTTGGCCATCCCCAGTTTAAAGCTTTAGCTTGGGAATTCTCTTTTCAGTTTGCTAGTTGCTGATTAAGGAGCTTAGCTCAGTGTCTGCAAACTTGGATTTAAACTTTATATTAGCGGCCTCATTTTCAGAAGTGCTCAGCATTTTTTGTGTCTTCCAGTAGGTTGTTTCTTACTGCTTCTAAATCTTAGCCTACTATTAGTTAGGAACAGAGATACACATTCGTATAGACAATGTATTGATTTCAGCTTTCGTTAACCATATGCCATAAAAACCGAGAGAAAAACAACTGTATCCTTGTTAAGGTGGGAAGAACAGTTCTGTAGCTCTTGGGTCATAAGGCTAAATTATTCCACGTCTGAAGCCCCGCTAGAAGGGCAGATAGGTTTTGTCATCATCAATTTATGGCAATTTCTATATATAACCATGTAGATAATGAGTTTTGATTCCTCACTACCTTTCTTCTTTTGCCATTGTTTACTTGTTTGCAAAATGTTATTAAAATAGTTTTTTCCATTCATGGACTCTACTTACAATGCTTTRCACTTTTCCTGTATGATTTAAATAGCCTGAATGAGTTAGGCAACAGAATCAGGCCCTTGAGGTGTCCTAAGCTCAAAAATGAAGTCAACTTTCCTGTCTTACATGCAGCTTATGCTAGCCCCCTTAGATTGACTCCTAAGTCCTCTCCTGGTTGGGCTGAGATCCTAACAGAGATCACAAAGTGCCAGGTCACCAACAGTCTACCCTGGGCCATTCATCTATGGTTTGAACTTTCCCCAGTGATTCTTTAGAGCCATGAGAATAAGAAATGGGATGAGTTTGGTTCCCTTTTAAAAGACTCAGTGGCTACGATCTTCTTGATCACATCCTACCTTGAGGAGTTTGTCATTCAAGTCGGATAAGTACTTGAATTTTATAAAGGTTAAAGTGAATTGGATTCAGTTCTGATCGAGGGTCAATACTACCTAAATAAAGTTGGAATCTACTTCATACTTGCATTCCAATAACCTTAGAATTTGGAAGGGTTTGGTTTTGGTTCCACAGTTCTGCATATATCCAACTTCTTGCAACTTAGGTTTGCTTTGGGTCCCTGTAAAGATATCTTTCTGAGTATTCACATAACTGGATGGAGTCTGCCATCCATCTAGAGGTCTTACAGAGATTCAGAATGACTCTGATTACAAGGACATTTGACCTGTGATCCTGGTTTAGAAGCATATGTGAGATTTCTAGAAAGTTATGGGAAGTAGGGATCTAGATGTCTCCCAACTTCAAGATGTGGTGCCTGTATCAAAGATAAATCTGAAAATTCTTCACACTTAAGTGGTTCATACTTGATGCTTGGAATTCAGCCTGAAGCTCTGTTAAATTTACAGGGTTCAGGTATTCATTTTATCCAAACTGGATAAATTTTGGGTCTCTTTTTGTATTTGAGTCAATATAGAAGGTAAGGTTGAGCATCAGTTATTGGTCAGGTCTATTTTATGTCCAACTGCCTCATTTTGGTATATATATATGTAGAGAGAGAGGAAGTTTTTACATTTGAAATCCCAAGACTATTCATATTATATGAACTAAATAGAAGTATATAGTGGTCTTGCTAATTGCATCAACTGGCTTTGATACAGGTCACCCTCCATAAGGTCTTTATGTACTGCTCCCATAATGTTCCCCATAATAAAACCTTGCAAGATGCCAGGCTGAGATAGGAAGACAAAGCACTTTATGTATTTATGGTCCCAGCTGTCTGCAGAATTACAGTTAAGTTCATTTTACACACAGAAAAACTGAGGCAGTAAGAAGTCAATTGACAGATATACAGCCAGATCAAGTTATATTGAGAACCACAATTAGAAACAAAGTCTCCTAATGCTCTTTCTGCTTTCCTAACCTTATGTACCCTGCAGTAAGGTAAATATGGTCRTAAAGTCCAGAGAAGTAAATATATAATAGGGTTAAATGTTGCAGGATACATCTGAACTTAACTGGTAATGCTGCCTCTGTGTGCGCCAGGTGTATATGGAGCTAAATATTATTSAAGGAGCTGACCTAAGTCACCTAATAGAGCTTTTTACTCCTTATATTTTTCCCTAAGTTAAGGAAAGTGGGTTCTGATGAAGCCACTAATGGAAATTAGCTTTTTGAAACAAACAAACAAAAGATCTTCGGTATTTGCTGTACATCTGSATGAAAATGGAACATTTATCGTCTGAATGCAGAGGTACGTGGGAGCTACCAGTGAATTAAAGTTCACCAGTCACTAGGGTGGTTAATATTATACAGGCTGAGCATGAATCATRATCATCAGGTCAACCTGTGGCTTCATATCTGTGGTTCTAGGGAGTCTACCCATCTCCATTAGTCAGTAGCCTATCCCTTCAACTGGCTAAGATTTTGGCATGTGCTGCCTAATAATAAATGCTGCAATAAAAATGTATTTTGGGAAGCAGCATGTTGTAATAGACCTGTGGATGAAAGGTGAGGTTTGATGGAGCCAACAACTAGCTGCCTGGCTGAACCTGGCTGCGTAGGGTCCCTCCTCGCGGGAGGACGGAAGGAGCAAGGGAGAAGGAGGTCCGGATTGCTTCCTCAAGGTGCCTGTCTCCCCACCAACAACAGAGGGAGCCCATACCAGCGGCTCAGGCAAGACACTGAACTTTTAGATGGCTCTGAGTTTGTCAAGACAAACTCTGTGTTAASAGTCCATGGCTGTGAGTTCTCATCTCTTCTCCCACTGATGCACAGCAGGGGCCTTGGGCACATTCCTTGGCCTCATCTCGGGCTCAGTTTCCCCGTCCATTGTGACAGTACCCCTCTAATAAAGTTCTTGGAGATCCTTGGTCCAAAGATGAAATTGAGATGCAAAATCTTGTTGTTTTCCTGGTCTCACYACTTTCATGTTCCTGTAGTTTTCATTCAGATTAGCAGAATTAAGTCTGTGTGTGATGAGAGGCAGGGCTCAGTGAGCATTACTGTGGAATCAGCATTTATCTTCAGAGATCACAGAATAGTAAAAAGGAAAAAAAAAGAGGCAAAAAAAAAGAGGAAATCTAGTAAAATCTAGGAATGGTTTATGTGTATTATTATTATTTCTTTTTCAAATCTTTCTTTCCTCTTCAGACCTTCTGTCCCCCCCGCCCTCCCTTCCTGTGCAACCAAAATATATAGGGAGAACATCCTTCCAACTAGACCTATATTTTAAATAACCTTGGCCTGTTTGCAACTGGGAAAATGTTTCTTTTTCTTTTTTTTTTYCCCCTACTTGTGAGATTTATTTCTGTCCTCGTAACACCATGTACTATATGCATTGCACCTGTTCAGCCATAAGCACAGCACATTATTATTATAGCTGTAGGGGTAGGAGCTGCCCAATATATGTTTTTGAAGGGAGGGAATTTTGGGGCGAATAGCCCCTTCTGTGCAGTTGTTTACCGAGTGCTCCCTCACAGAGACTTCCTCCTCGTTGAGACAGGTTTCCCCAGACAATAGGGGCGCGGGGAAAAAGGAGCTTCAGGAGAACGTCTTTCCTGAAAGATCTCATGACTTTAAAATCATCGGTGGGCTTTGTGTAGCCTGCCTGTCAAAAGAGATATGTTTACACCTTCCCTGCGTGGTGTGCTAAAGCTCTAAGGTTACGGAGCAGAATGGCTGATACGTCTCAGCGCTCCATGCTAATATGCACCAAAAAAAAAAAAAAAAAATGTATTTATGATAATTATACGGGCCGCCTGGAACAATGCATTCCAACATCCTGCAACATAAATAAGAAAGGTGGAGCCAGCTGGCGCTCAGCTGCCTCTCCGCCRGCGAGCCCCGCCGAGCCCCCGTATACCTTGAGCTGCGCCGTCTCCGTCTGGCGGCACTGAACCTGTTGCTGCATCAGCCGAGTTGTATTTTGCCGGAGAGGGGAAGGAGGGTTGTCTGCTGTCTGGTAGGAGGGCTTTGTCTGCGGGCGCCTTTCTCTCCCGCTCCCTCTCCCTGTGGCTCTCGCACTCTCGCTCGCTCGCTCGCTCTCGCTCACTCGCTCTCGCTCGCTCTCTCGCTCGCTCTCTCCCTCTCCCGTCTCTGTGGTTTGTAAGGTAGGTTGCAGTGTGTGTATATACACAACATCAAGAGCAGGAAAATGGACTCATTAGGGAGGCAGGCAGTCATTACCACTCACACTGTACTTCCAGGGAGACAGCGACTATGAGGAGACAAACTGAGGACTGGGGAACAAGGTAGGCCAGTCAACTTTTATAAAAAAAAATACAGAAAAATAAAAATAAAAAGACAAAAAGGCAAAATGCAGCCTCTACTCTCCTTAAGCCACCAGCACTTCTTTATCCTCCTCCCCCCCCACCCCTCGTTTTTTAATTTAGAGATGTAAGTTTGTCAGAGCTGTTTGCTAGCTTAAAATTTGGAACATCTATAGAAGGCCTTACCCTCTACAAATGTCCCCCCCCCCCCTTGTACTTATTTAAGGGTGTGCCCCCTTATGATTCACTTTAATTACTTTTTTTTTTTTTTTTTAATCACGGAGGAAACAAATACGTTTGTTTTCCAACACTAGTTCCAAGTAAATCAATATCTTTCACTCTTTTAAAACAGCCCTCTCCGTATGTTTGTGGGTCTCTCTCCTTTTTCTTTCTGTTTATGCAATTCCATCTGTCCGTCCATATATCATGTTCTCCTTATTTACTGTTAAATGGGTTTTTATTAGTATTTGCCAATGACTTTTAACTGTAATGCTGGTGACGAGGGTTAACGGTGATTCTGGCTCTTTGTTTTAAATATATACTGTAAGTTTAAAGTACATGTTTACCATACATGAAATAAAAACAGAAGAGAGAAAGCAGGTTCCACTCCTGGCAGGCTTTTTATTGAGAGATTTTTTTGTTTGTTTGTTTTGCTGTGGGGGCGGAGGGGGTTAATTTTGGTTATTGTACATGTACTTTTCCCTCTCGGATATTTTTAACACGTATTTTTTCGTTATTAGTGTTTCTCCAGTTTCCTTTCCTAGGAAAGAAAGGAAACACATATTGCAACTTTTATGTTGCTGGTTGAAGGCAGCATTATGGAGGCATCACTGGGTTAATAAGAATGCAAACTTTCTGAGAGGGAGTTTGTATCCTTGGCTGCCCCCCACCCTCCCACTTTATGCCTGGTTATGCCTGTGTTTCCGTGTGTATTGGTGGGGCGGGAGGGGGGAAAGGAACAGATATTTCTTACAGTGGTGGCAAATTATGAAATCTATCGAGCCATTTTGTTCACAAATAGTAACTATTTATTTACCTTTTTTCCTCTTTCCCCCCGCCCTCCACAAATACGCTGCTTATTTGTGATTTCAAACACTGAAGCTCGTCCCTGAATTAATCATTTTCATTATTTTTCTGGGGAGGGATTTGCGATGCGTTTCACAACCCATTTAGCACTGTCGAGTTTTTGGAGCCTAGATTTATCACGGGTTCTAAAGGCTGCTTAAATTGATCCATTTGAAATGGTCTTTTTATCCAAGCTCCTGTCATTTCTGCTGGAGAGTAAAACTCCGTCTCTGCTGGTAACAAAAAAAAAAAAAAAAAAAAAAAAAAAAAAAAGAAGATAGTGAGTGGAAGTGAGTTACATAAAATGTTCTGGAGAATCCCTGAGTAATTATATAAAATGGATGCTGATCAGTGGAGATTTCTCAACAATAACAATCACCTTTTTTATTAGGAAATTATTTATTTAATAGCAAGAGGCGGACTTTTAAAAAAAGGCATTAGGCCCTTCCTCAGAGCACAAAGCAGCCCATAATGCAGTATTCCTCACCCACCTGGGACTGCCTGGGAGATCCTCCTAAACCGCTAGGTCTTTGCAGGTATTTCTTAGAAAAGTGTTATTTTGCAGTTGAAGAGAACTTTTGCTGCCCAAAGGTTCTTTGATTCTTTTTAATTTTTATTTATTTTGAGCATGTCCTTCCACTCCCAACTCGGCCATTTCAACAGAAGCGCCTCCTCGCCAAGCAAACTAAGTTCATGGGAACCCGAAGCAGCAGGTCCCCTCAGCAGCGCCACAGCTGCAGAAACTCCTCGCTCCATTTGAGTGGGGGCTCCCTTTCCAGAACCTGAGCGCAACTCTTCCAGGCTTTCACATGCCAGCGTGCTGGGAAAGGTTGGCTCCCCTTTTAGCTTGGGGGAATGACGCTTGGGGCTCTGGGTTCCCTTTCCCTCTTTGGTGCTCACGCCCTCCAGACGGTTCCTTGGCCCAGGCTCTTCAGCCGCGCGC